TCAAATCCCTCTACACTCCACTTTGCTACAATTGTCTTCTCTCGTTATATCAACGTGTATTTTAAAACGAAATTATATGAATGTGTGTAAGATAACAGGAAGATGTGTTGGTTGGAATCAATAATTACAAAAGCCGCAATTACACGATTAAGTGATTATAGAGAAATTCTTATGATTAATACGGATACGAACTTTTTTTTATTTTATTGTGTTCATCAGAAGAAAATGAAAATCTCAACAAATTTTTTTCCTTTCCTTTCTTTCTCTTCTTGTTCTTAAAATTATTCTATTTATATTTATTTTTTCATGTAATTCTTCTACCACCCACTTTTCTTTTTGAATCATGCACCTTTATTTTTTATCATTTTTACCCCTTCACCCAATATCATATTTATATTGATTTGTCAATAAGTGACTCCACCTCTTCATTATTCTTTCCTTACGTTACTTCTTTCAACAAAATCAACTTTGTCCTCAATATTGAAATGAGAGTAAACTCGTGTAATTACATTAGTATTTTTTCATGTTGTTGAACCATTTTCTTACTTAACTAAGGATTGATGAACTTGTTGGTCACCCCTAAGAATAATTCGTATATTTAAAATTGTTACTAGTTGAATAAGCGAAAAAATCTCATTATCATATATTGATAAAGGAACATATAAACGATCATGACTGCCTTACACATTTTCAACTAAGAAACATGAAATATGGGATGAATCTTTGCTAAAAATGGTAATTGAAGCTTGTAAGCCATCTTTCCAATCCTTTCTACCACCGCAAAAGCACCAAAGTACCTTAATCCTAACTTTTGATTATTTCTCAAAGCCAATGAATGCTGCCTATATGACTGACTTTTCACCAAAACCAAGTCACCAATATAAAAATCAACATCTAACCTCTTATTAGCATATTGCTTCTGAATTTGTTTAGCTCACTGTAGATTGAACTTGAATTTCTGAAGTATGTCATCTCTTTATTGTTATAGGATCAGTTTCTTGTGAAACGTACTTGAGTACCTTAGGTGGATTCCTCCCATACACAACTCGAAAAGGAGTCATACCTGTGCTGGTGTGATATGATGTATTGTACCAATACTTAGCCCATGTAAGCATCCTAGACCACTCTCAAGGTGCATCAAAAGTAAAACATCTTAGATACAACTCCAAACATTTGTCAAGGATTTCTGACTGACCAACTGATTGAGGGTGGTATGTAGAAGACTTCTTAAGTGTGGTGCCCCTAAGTTGCCATAGTATTTTTCAAAATTAACTAGTAAAACCCTTATCTCAGTTAGAGACTATTGATTTTGGCAATCCATGTTTATAATTTCACTATTTTCTTAAAGAAGATTTTCCCAACTTTTGCTAGTAAATTCTTGTTTCATTGGGGTGAAATGAGCTGCCTTACATAATCGATCAACTACCACATAGATTATTGTGAACCCATGAGAGACAGGAAGACCCATGATAAAATCCATTACCAAATCCTCCCAAATTTAATCAGGAATAGGAAAGGGTTGTAGTAAACCAACAGGGAGAGTAGTGGCCACCTTAACTTGTTGACAAATCAAGCACTATTGCAAATACCTCTTAATATCTTGGTGCATTCCTTTTCAATAAAGCTGAGCAACAATTCTAGCTAAAGTTTTAGAGAACCCAACATGTCCACCAATCACAGAGTTATGGAATTCATTTAATAGAATCTGAATTAACTCATGTCCAATAGGAACAACAATCCTTCTTTTCCATAGTAACAATCCTTGATGCATTGAGTAACGAGGGTTAGAGCAAGAATTGTTATTACAAGCATCAATTAAGGTCTTAATTCCATTATCTAACTTTTGTGCTTGTTGCAGAGTGACCACTAGTTGCAGTACTACTTGGGACCAAGCCATGTAAAAAGACCTTGAAAATGAATCAACTGCTATATTCTTCTTCTCCAATTTGTATTCTATAGTAAACTCATAACTGAGTAACTTATGAAGTCACTTTTGTTGCTCAGGAGTTTGCAAACTCTGATCCATGATATTCCTTAGGCTTTTCTGATATGTTTTGATCACAAATTGGTGATCAAGTAGATAATGGCTGAACTTTGTCACTACTTTAGTTACTATATAGAGTTTCCTTACATAAGCCAATTGCTTTTGCATTAAGGGTGACATTCTTTTTGAAAAGTATGTGATGAGGTGCCTGTTCTGACTTAAGACAACTCCAATACCTATACTAGAACTATCAGTTTCTAACTGAAATGGTAATGAGAAATCTGGTAAAGCCAATATAGGAATTTTTGTTAAAGCTGTTTTCATATTTGTAAAGGTTTTGGTAGCTACATTTGATCAATTAAAGTTGTCTTTTTTTTTTCCAGTAATTTAGTGAGTGGGCCAACCAAAGTTGCGTAACTTTTAATAAATATGCTATAATAGCTTGTAAGTGCCAAAAAGTCCCTTAGTTGTTTAAGACTTGTAGGTAAAAGACCAAGCCAAAACAACTTGAACCTTACTATCCTCCATAACAATTCCTAACCCTGAAACCGTGTGCCTTAAATATTTCATTTGTTGTTTGTCAAATGAACATTTAAAAAGTTTGGCACATAATTTGTTTTCTTACAACAATGTAATACTTTTTTTCCAAATGCTGAAGATGAGTGCATCATGAAGGACTATACACCAAAATGTCATAAAAAAAGACAAGAACATACTTCCTCAACATCTTTTGGAAAATGTTGTTCATCAATCCTTTGAATGTTGCTAATGCGTTAGTTAGCCTAAAGGACATGACTAACCACTCATATAAGCCTTTATGTGTTCTAAAGGCCATTTATATCTGTCCTAAGATCCAACATGGAAAAAATTTAGCTTTATGCAATTCATTAATCAATTTTATCAACCATGGGAATTGGAAATCTATCTTCCACATTAATGGAATTCAAAGCCCTGTAATCAATACAAAATCTCCATGTGTCATCTTTCTTTTTCACCAATGTAATTGGAGAAGTAAAAGGGCTATTATTGGGCACAATTATTCCTTCTTGCAAAATCTCTTGTAAAATACTGCTTTTGAATGAAATGATATCTATACGACTTCACTTTAAAAGGACTCGAACCACGTACTAGAGAAATAACATGGTTATGTATTCTAGGAGGAGGTAGACCACATGACATATAAAAAACCTGCCTATATGTATGTAACAATAAGGCTATCTCTGGTTCCATGTCCACAGGTAAGTCAAAAATTTGATCTTGTGAGTTGTTGGAATTTTAAAAATGGAGAGAATACATTTAAGCAATCGAATTAGTATGAAACATTCTTCTCAAATGGTGAAATTGAGCCTGGTCAGGTAACTTGGTTTGTTCCCCCATCAGTGTGGCAAACTTATCATCTAGCATAAATTTCAATGATAAATTGTTATAATAAAAAATGTGAGCACCTTGTGTGGCCAACCAAGAAGTTCTAAGAACCATGTCAGCGCCTGAGATAAGAAGTAAGTATGTTGGTAGCTGAAGAACATGGTTTTGAATTGTAACTTTCAATCTCTTGAGGAGTTCCTCCACTACCAAAGCATTGTCATTACCAACCATCACATTAAAATTCTGAATTGGTTCTATTGGTATTGTCACAATCAAAATCGTGACTAGTCGACAAAATTAGGTTTCTAAATGAAAAAAAACAATAGAGTCGCCACCAATATTTTATTTTAAGGAAAATATCAGAAAAAACTTTCAAAAAGAAAAGAAAGTGGTCTGTAAAATAAAGGTTAGGTTCGAAAGTCGATTATGTGTAAGTAATGTATTAACACCTTACAACATCCATTCTGAAAACGGTTGCCTTTAATTAGATGTAAAAATTAAATATCTTAAAATTATCTATTTTATCCCTCAAACTTATATATATATATATATATATATATATATATATATATATATATATATAATGTTACTACTAAAAAAGTTATATATTTTTATATTTTTTGCTCGATAGAGATTATTTTCATGCTCTTACGTATCCCTAGGTGTAATGGAGAATCAGAGTAGCATATTTCTTTCTTACAAATATTTGTGAATAATTTATTTTAATTTATCTATCTATGTTGTTAAGTTAAACATATGCTTAAAATTATTTTAAAGTTGGATAATTATGTAATAATTAAATTAGAAGTACATCTAAAGTGATTATCATTTTTATAATGTTAGTAATAATTAAATTGGAAGTGCATCAAAGTAATTTAAATGTTTAAATTATTGTATTTTGTAATTTCTAAATATATATTTTTAATTATTTTATTATAATTAAATTAAAAATACATTTGAAGTGATTATTATAATTTTATGGCAACTAAATTAGACGTGTATCCAAAGTGGCTAAACTTTTTATGAAATATTTTCTTACTACTCCAATAACAATAATACTATATTTTTAATAATACTAAAAAATTATTGAGATTTAATTGTTAATATACTAATAATAATATACTAATTTAAATTATTAAAAAAATAGAATCATTTTTATTTGAAATTTGGATAAAGTAATGATAATAAATTTTTGGCACATTATTATTTATGACTTATTTTTTTTATATTGTTTAGTTTAACGAAATAAAATAAAATAAAGAAAAACATTAATCCCAATTCTTTCAAATTTGCTTTACTATTTGAAAACTTATTTTTAGTATTTTCCACCTCCAAACCCAAACTATTATTTTTTATCCGACCCAAAAATCTCCTACCAATTTGTCGGGCCTAAGATTGATTTGTTTCATTATTAGAGATCATTTTTTGTTATTTCTACCTCTAGACAAATTTGGGTCGTAACTCTCTTCAGCTCAGGTTTTCTTATTGAGCGTATATTTCTGTTTAACCTAGCTAGACCTAAAACCTAATCCTGATAAAAATATGAGGGGAGGAGGGCGCTGCACAACGAAGGTTTCATGATTAAAGGGGAAGTTGAGATTGAAGAGCGAAGGTGATGAGTGGTGGTTCGCGAAGACGTGTGGTGGTCGGCATGACCGAGACTCTTGGTGACCTGCGGTGGTTGGCTGGGTGGCGGAGATCGCGGAAACGAGTAGTTAATGGTGAAGCTAAAAGAGATGAAGTAGTAGAGGTCGCGACTATGATGATGGTGCGATTATCTTGTATTGATGGGGAGTGATCGACGGTGAGTCACAACACTGGCTAGAGAAAAAGTGGAAAATAAGGGTTTGTTGTGTGATGGGTCTGAGGGCACAACATTAGTAAGGGAAAGGGAGGAGGGTTTTGTTGCCGGAGAAAGGGGATGGATGAAGGGGAGAGTGTGGAGATTAAGGTCGTGACTAGGTTATGGTGGTCGTTGGTGGTGGTCGCTGGTGGGGCGGTGGAGCTCGCTGTGGTAGTTGCCAATAATAATGGTAAATGAGTTTTTTTTTTGTGTTTTTATAAGTTTTATTATGTATAATACAAATACTTCAGCTACAAATACAAATAATACGTATAAAGTGGATTAGTAACAATGAATTTAGAAACATGTTGATTATGTCGAATATGTTGGTTTCCTTTTTTTTATGTTCTTCTTTTCATCTGAAAACCAAAAGCCCTTTTGTTGATGTCTCCCTCTCAATTGTTGAATAAGTTGTTTTTCTTTTTGGTTGAATCTGTTGTTTTCCTTTTTGTTGAATCCTTTCATCTAGAAACCAAAAACCCTTCTGGTTGGAGCTTATGTAACGCCCGCGCCATCTCCCTGCACGCTCGCGAGTCTTGCTCGTCCTTTTTGCCGCACTAGGCCCTCACCAAGCCTAGTTATTTGTGTATAGAAGCCTTTAGAAAGGCCTAGACTTGACTGGAAGCTTCTAGAAGGCTCCAGAATTATGTAGATATTTGTAGTAGGGACAAGAACATCCTAGAACCTTGTAGAGACTTGTAGAAAGGGCAAGAATCATCTTGAGTTGTGCAGAAGGTTCTAGGACATGTGTAGAAAGAGTAGGAGTTGTGTGGAAGGGTTTAGAAAGACCAAGACCCTTGAAGGATCTAGAGAATTCCTTAGAGGAGGTAGTGCCTATAAATAGAGGAGACCCCCTCATTTGCAAACCATCCAAGCTTTGAGAGCTCACTTGTACTAGAGTTTGAGTAATAGAAGTATTTTCCCTTCAAGTTCTCTTTTCTCGCTTTCTCTAACCAAAGCACTTGCACACACCGAGCATGATCCCGAGTGAGGTGAGACTGACTTAGCTAGTTGTGAAGGGCGCACGAGAGGCTAAGGCCGCACGCAACCAAGTTCGAGAAACAAGGGCGTGACAAGTGGTATCAGAGCAACGCTCGGTACCATGTAAGTATGGCAGGGGAGAAGGAACATAATGCGTCTGGGTCAGGCGTAAGCGAAGAGCAAACCCGAGGGCGGGAACACACCACCGGAACCAAGGACAAGAAACGTCGAGACCAAAGCCAAGTTCACGCAGAGGTCTCGCCGTTAGACCAAGTCGTTGGGGAAATGACTGAGAAACTCGAAAGGGTCGAGTTCACCTTCAAAACGTTGGAGACACACGTCTTGGAGGAAATCGAGTCCGTCAAAGGTGTCGTCCAAGAGGGGCTCGATGCACAAAGCTCCATGGAGGACCGCTTGGATCACCTGGAGGACCTTGTGAAGGATCTCCAAGCAAGCATCGAGGGGATGCGTGAGGATCTCACTGTTTGCAAGAAGGCGATTGCTAGTGGGGAGGCTAGCAACTCCACGCCCACACCAAGGGTGGAGTGTCCGAGGCCGATAGGCTACAATGGCGTAAGGGACGCCAAAGAAGTGGACAACTTCTTATGGAGGATGCAACAATATTTCGAGGGCATAAATCTCACAGACGAGGCTACCAAGGTAAAGACTGCTTCCCTTTACCTTTCTGATACTGCTATGTTATGGTGACGCAGGAAGCATGGCGACATCGAGCGAGGCACATGCCGGATAGACACATGGGAGGACTTTGTCAAAGAACTCAAACGACAATTCTATCAGGAGAATGTTGTCTACGAAGCCCGATGAAAATTACGGGAGCTAAAGCAAAAAGGGACCATACATGACTATGTCAAAGAATTCACCACCCTTTTGCTCCAGATTCCCAATATGATCGAGGACGACTCGTTTTTCTTCTTCGTGGATGGACTCCAACATTGGGCGAAACAAGAGTTACAACGCCGAGGCGTCAAGTCTGTTGATGATGCGATTGCCGCCGCCGAGTCATTAATCGAGTTCTTCCCATCCTCATCTTCTGATACCACCAAGAAAGATAAGAAGTATCTCGCCAAAGGTGGAGGAGATAAAAGGGACAACAAGAACCGAGACTCTCGAGACCAGCGACGAGCGCCGACCAAGGAGGATCGAAACTTCGAACGCCACAACTATGAGGAGAAGAAACAGGCGTTTGTCCCTAAAGGAGGTTGCTTCGTGTGCAAAGGACCACATGCCATGAAGGATTGCCCAAAGCTAGGCTCCCTCTCGGTCATCATGGAGCAGCGTGAGACCGAGTCTAAAGAGGAAGAGCCAACAATGATAGGTTCGTTGCAAGTCCTCAACGCCCTTAATACCAAGCTCGAGCGCATCACGTCTAGCAAGGGGCTCATGTACATGGAAACGCATATTAACGGGACTCCGACAAAGGCTCTGGTGGATATAGGAGCCAGTCACAACTTCATTACCAAGGAGGAAGCCGCAAGGTTAGGACTATCTTTGTCCGAGAAAACTAGGTGGCTAAAGACTATCAATGCCAATGCTCGTCGACTCGACGAAATTGCTAGCAACGTGAGTCTGCGCCTAGGGACATGGCAAGGACGCGTGAATTTCTCAATAGCACCCATGGACGACTTCAAGGTGGTACTCGACATGAACTTCTTACGACAGGTAACAGCTATACCAATGCCATCCTTTAGTACTGTTTGTATATTGGAGAATGACTCTCCATGCATGGTTCCAACTATAGAAGGGGACAAGAGTGCTAGCAAGCAACTCTCCACGATGCAGCTTGCCAAGGAGGCAAAGCGAGGAGAGCCAAACTACTTGGCAGTACTAAAGGAGGACAACCATGAGGAGGAATCTCCGAAGGTGCCCTCCCTTATCCGAGGAGTCCTTGAGGAGAACAAGGACGTCATGCCTGCCGAGTTGCCAAGCAAGCTTCCACCAAGGCGAGGTGTTGATCACAAGATTGAGTTGGAGCCAGGCACCAAGCCACCAACCATGTCTCCTTATCGGATGTCTCCACCCGAGCTAGAGGAACTGAGGAGGTAGCTCAAGGAGCTCACAGAGACCGGGAAAATTTGGCTGAGCAAGGCACCTTATGGCGCACCAGTACTCTTTCAGAAGAAGCATGATGGAACACTACGCATGTGTGTAGATTATCGGGCACTCAACAAGGTAACTATCAAAAATCGTTATCCCATCCCTTTGATTGCCGACTTATTCGATCGACTTGAGGGAGCCCGAGTGTACACCAAGATGGATTTACAGAAAGGTTACTACCAAGTTCGTATCGCCGAGGGAGACGAACCCAAGACCACGTGCATCACGCGGTATGGGTCATACGAATGGTTAGTGATGCCCTTCGGGCTCACGAATGCCCCAACTACATTTTGCACGCTCATAAACGAGATATTTCATTCGTACTTGGATCGATTCGTGGTGGTTGTCACCGCCGTTAGAAGAGGCGGTCGGAACGACGCGATGATTTTTATATGACTCATGTTTTCTTTGAAAGAAACGGTTCAACGCCTTTAGGCCGTCCGATAACCGGGCTAGACCTAAAGGCGAGGTTTTCGAATAGGTTCGAGGAGTCGCCATCAGTGTTTTAACCCTAAACACTGAAAAAGGTAAAAAAGAAAAAGGCAGTGGTTTTAGAAAAAACCAACTTTGGCCATCACAACCAGAGTCGGGTAAGGGAGTTAGTTACGTGTGGGGAAGGTGTTAGCACCCCCACAACGCCCCTTTCGGGTTCCCTATGATGGACTAACTTAGAACATAAACACTTAAAGAAATTACATTTTTACCCTATTATTTGATCTACTCGCAGAATTTAAATATCTACATGACTCTATTATCTAATGCACACAAAGAAAGCGATAAAGAAAGCAGTAAAAGAGACAGAGAATAGAGAAGGAACCTCCGAAGCGAGCTCTATATTAATTCTTCTAAAACTTGAGGACGCTTTTTGGCAGTCCCCGCACTCTACAAGCACGCTCCTCCCTCAAAATAAAGACAAATCACTCTACCGAGGGCCGGATGCCTCAAAAAAGAGACTTCCTTAACCGATTTCAACCTTAACGGAAATCGGAAAGCTCCCTCGAACCCCGGAATAATGCTCAGGGTCACTCTCAAGTGCCAAAAAGCTTCCAAGAGAGTGGAGGAGTGAAAAGGTGTCAAAATTTGGAGGAATGAGGCCCCTATTTATAGGGAATCGGGCCTGGAAAAGGTGGACGGCTGTCTGGACAAAGCGGACGGCTGTCCAAGGCAAAAAGTGGCCATGGACGGCCATCTGCCTGTTCTGGACGGCCATGTGCTGTCTCCGATGGATTTCCCAATTTTTAATGCCTCTAAAAACCCTTCCTATCCTAAATGGAACCTAGAACAAGCTACTAGGGACTTGATAAAGTCTTAACCATCTTCGGAATGGGCGATCTTTGGCTTTATTTAAGGGTCCGGACAAGATTTGGGGACTACAGTAGTCTACTCGGATGACATCGTTATATATAGCAACTCGCTCGAGGAGCACGCTGACCACTTACGTACTGTATTCAAGGTACTCCAGGAGAATGAACTTTATGTTAAGGAGTCCAAGTGCATCTTTGCCCAAGAAGAGGTAAACTTCTTGGGGCATGTTATAGGCCATGGAAGGATCCAGATGGACGGGGCAAAGGTGAAGGCAATCATGGAATGGGAAGCTACCACCAAAGTTACCGAGTTACGATCCTTCTTGGGGCTGGTCAACTATTACCGGCGGTTCATACAAGGGTACTCGGCAAGGGCCGCACCGCTTACCGACATGCTCAAGAAGGGGAAGCCGTGGGAATGGACCAACGAGTGTCAAAGAGCATTTGAGGATCTCAAGGCCGCCGTGAGTCAGGAGCCTGTCTTAGCATTACCTGACTTCACTAAGCCATTTGAGGTTCACACTGACGCCTCTGATTTTGCTATTGGGGGAGTATTGATGCAAGAGAGGCACTCGATAGCGTTTGAAAGTCGAAAGTTGAATGACACCGAGCGACGCTACACGGTGCAAGAAAAGGAGATGACAACCATCATCCATTGCTTGAGGGTGTGGCGCCACTACTTGCTAGGGGCGCACTTCAGCATAAAGACAGACAACGTAGCCACTAGCTACTTCCAGACCCAGAAGAAACTCTCTCCAAAGCAAGCCAGATGGCTGAACTTTTTGGCTGAGTTTGACTACTTGTTAGAATACAAACCGGGGAAGGCCAACGTGGTGGCCGATGCTCTAAGCCGCAAGGCTGAACTTGCCGCCATCAGCAAAGCCGACGGGGATGTCCTTACCCGTATTCGAGAAGGGCTCGAATGGGACCCCGTCACGAAGACACTCATGAGGCTCGCAAAGGAAGGCAAGACCCAACGATATTAGGTAGAGGACGGTCTACTCTACGCA